TGTTCTTGAACTTGATCGGCAGCTGATTCCAGGAAGCCTGGGACAGAGCAACTCTGCCTCGGGTTTCCTGTAATCAGCCGCTGGTCAGTTTCAGCAGCGGCTGAATCTGGACGCCAGTTCTGACTTAAGTACAAATTCGACTTAAGTACAAACCTACAGTCCCTATCTTGTACGTAACCCGGGGACTGCCTGTATATGGTTGTGACAATTTTCTTCCACTATTTGATCTGAGGAAGTGGGTCTGGCCCACGAAAGCTCATCACCTAATAAACCATCTTGTTAGTCTTTAAAGTGCTATATAGTCCTGTTTAGGGATCAGTGAAACATTGTTGGTTTGTGAAGCATTTACTAATGACTCAGAAAGCTACCTGGCCACATGATTCTGTCTACTCTCTTTAGGTATGTCTACACTGCAAACAAAAATAACATAGCAATGAAGACAAAGCACCCTGGATTTTAACTCATATTAGCAGTTTGAGTTCAGTCCCAAACTTTAACTCAAGCTGCTAACCCAAATGAAAAGCAAAGTTACCAAGTCTGTCCTACTTTAACCCAAGTTAAGAACACACTTTTTTGGGGGGGAGGGCAGTGTAGACACACTCTAAAACCCCCATGGCCTGAATGGTGGTAAAAGAAATGAAACTCTCAAGCTATGTCTACGCTGCCATTGTTTTGCACAACAAATATGCAAATGAGGAGAAGCGTGGAATATCTCCATAAGCAATAGTAGTCACCAGAGAGATGTTGGGAAAGAGCAAAGGAAGAGTGAAGCCGCTTGCATGCGGTGAAAGAGAAGTGAGAACTAAGGATGTTAAGGACTTAGCCTTTGCTTATCGAATAGTCTGTCGAATAGTCAACTAGTCAGTTCCCTCCCTCCTTTGCTGCCTCTAGGAGATAGAGGCTGCAAAGGGGCGAGGGGAGGAAGGCAGCGTTTCAAAGGGGCAGCCACCAAACAGTTGATCCACAGCTCAGCTGTGTGGTACTGCCCCGTCAAAACGCCAAAGCACCGTGGAGCCCAGGGCCAGCTGGGGAGTCCCTAGTTGCCCCTGGGCTCCATGGCTGCCCCTTTGAAACATGGAGGCAGCATTTCAAAGGGGCAGCCACCGCACAGCTGATCCCAGGCTCTGCTGTGTGGCGTTGCCACTTTGAAATGCCCAGGCATACCTGCTGGGGATTCTTGTACATTTCAAAGCAGGCACTGGTGTGCGGCCTGGAGTCAGTGGGACTTCCCGCTGGCCCCAGGCTGCACTCCGAGTTCTGCATTCCTCCTTTGAAATGTACAAGAGCCCCTGCTGGGAAATTCCATCGACTACTCGACTAGTCAATTAACCGCAATTTGACATCCTTACTGTGAACTACTTCTCGGAAAACAGGCAATGGAAAGTCTTGAGAACCCCAAGTCTGGGGCATCCAATCATACATATGTTTGTCTAACTAGTCTGAGTCACTTTTTCTTGGGCCCCATCCATCCCTGAGAATTGCCCCAACTCAGTTGTGAATGTCCTGCAATTAGAGCAGTGGTCGCTAATCTTTTTAAGCACAAGATCACTTTTTGAATTTAAGTGCAATGTAAGATCTACCCCAAATCCAAACACCCTTGCCCAGCTTCCTTTGTGCCCCTTCTCCCAGACCCGGCTCCTGCTCACTCCACCCTCCCTTCCTCCCCATTCTCCCTCCCTTTCACGAGGCAGAGGCAGAGGGTTGGGGCACAGGCTTTGGTCTTGGGGTAAGGGATCTAGAGTGTGAGGGGGCTCTGAGCTGAGCCTGGGGCAGAGAGTTGGGGGGCAGGAGTGGGTTCAAGGTACAGGCGCTGTAAGGGAGTTTGAGTCCAGGGATCTCAGGGCTAGGGCAGGGCCTTGGGGTATAGGAGGGGGTTCATGACCAGTGCAGGGGTTTGGAGCTGGCTCCAGCAGGACACTGCTTATCTCAGATGGCTCTTGGATGGTGATGCAGTGGGGGTAAGGCAGGCTCAGCCCTGCCCTGGCCCTGCATCACTCTCAAAAGCAGCCAGCAAACTCCCTCCATCCCAAGCTCCCCACCCCCTTCTGTGGAGAGAGAGAGCACAGGGTGGAAGAAGGGGCACCCTGCTCAGTGCCCCCTCCTCTCCGTTCCCTGCTCTGTACCGCAT